GAGATGCCATTCAGATGGATTATGGGGAGAATCAATACTCTACACAACTACGCCAGAAGAATTCACAGTGGATTGATTCTCAATGGAGGCTTTGTAGAGAGAGAAATACCAAACACACATGCCACTAGTGTGTATGACATGTTAAATGAGATGAATGCAGGACACTACTTAGCCAGAAGGAGCTTAGAAGAAATGCAGAGAACAGCAGGACTATTCTATCGACATCAGGTAATGTTGCAAGCAGCTATGAATGAAGCAAGCCCGGCAGAAGGACCGGTGTACACAAGATTCAGGCCAGGGGGCAGAGAACCATCAATCAGACAAGACTATGAAGCAGCGCAGGCAAACCAGATGTGTGGTCGACTTGAAGCAAAGGTACAGCAGCTTGCGGGAAGACATTACAACTTGCTAGGAAGAGGAATACCAGAGGCAGCAGATGCAGTGGAAAGAGAATTTGATAATTACCGAGAATGTTGGGTTTTGCACTCAGGATGAGAGAACATCCAGATGTACCACATGAAGTGCCAACATTCTCTAGGAACCCAGTTCCTGGAAACAATGAGTAGATCCAGAAGAGTAAGAGAAGCACGAAATGAGTCAAAAAAATGGTCTATAGTGGCAATGTGAGCCCAAATTAGGGTCTCACATCGCCAAGAAGGAGTGCGAACCATTTTCCACTCAGCTCACAGCATAGATGTATCACATCACTTGCATCATGAAGGGTGCGTGGTACTACTGCAGCACTTTTGTGACTCAAGAAAAAGTACGTAAATATAATATCCATATATTATCAAAAATATAAGTTCATTAATATATATATATATACACACGTTATATTTGTAACGCGAAGGCATGGGTGCAGTCATCAGGACCACTCTCAGTTTGTCACATGCATTATCTTGAAGACAATCCTTGCCGAGGCCATGGCAGCGGCTTCGGAACAAATGCATGTTGAACAGAAAACCACACCTGACGCATGTGAGCTGCTGACTTGGTCGTGCAAAATTAATGTACCATGAGATGTAAAGAGTCTGAAAAAGACAGCCGAACCCATCAGGGGGTCTAAGAACGGAGGACCACAAAAGGATCGGTAGCGCAATGTAATTTTTGCACACACAGCCTCTCGGCCTAACGCAACAAAAATCCGGTATTCCAAGTGTAGTCCAACTCGCCAATAGTGGCACAGTCGGGACCTGGCACAGTGAGTATATATAACCCCATATTGCATAGTGGCATACCACTTAATTTTGCCAATTGCAGCACATACTAGTAAGCCAGGAGCCAGGAAAGAGTGTTGCATGTGTTGCTCTGTGAGAAGGGTTTTATGACGGTTGGGCGGGGCAAATCAGAGCACGCTGAGGTATTGAAATAAGGGAACATTTTAGTCCACCACGAGTCACTACCTAAGTCTTCGGGAACCTTTTCCGCGCGTGACAGCATTATTTGCAGGTGTGGAGTTTCAATCAAACAACAATTAGTAGCCTTTGAAAGATAATGTGGTTTCCTTTTGCGCACCTAGAGGGGCCTCGGCCTGAGACCCAATAGCCCCAATAGTTTTACAGAACGCGCCCGCGCATGATCTGAGAGCATGCCGCAAGCAATGCGACAACCTTTTTTGACACATAGCAGTCCTGTTCTGCATGAATACCGGAATACCGATTGAATACCGACCTACAGTAACATTTCAAATTCTGACCCTACGAACTCCCACAACCATGATGCCATAGCCCGCAACTGGGGCGCACGACCAGAAGGTTTTCGCATTCCCAACAGGCTGCGCGAGACCGGCATCATGCCCACATCCAAGAATTGGCTGGCCGGGAAAAGGAGGCCAGAGAGCAACCCTTAGTTTTGGAAGCGTGGCTGGATAATGTGGTTGTGCGCAGAGTTGAAAATTCGGAGTCAAGCTCGCCAAGGACAAGCAGCATGAACACCACAAAGAACTACTTGGCCGAGAGCGGGCTGCCAATGAGGTCTTTGTCTCTATCTTGGATTGTGATACCAACCAATATTTCTTGCAACACTTGCATGTGGGAACGCACCATTGAACACATGCATGATGACAGGCCCATCATGCATCCGTAGCCGAGCGCCTCAAGTACATCGAACAGCTGGCTCAGTACTTGGGTAATTTCCTGGTTCTTGTCTCACTGATATTGAAATGTTTTAAAGGTAATTGTTGCACTTCAACGGACTTTGCACAAAGGTTCTCTTTTTAGGCACCATCATTTCTTCTCCGGGTTTATTGCTCTCAGGTTGGTGACTCGTGTGAGCGCCACTCGAAGGAAATCCAGGCTTCTCACACGCGACTGGAGACCATGCATCGTCCTTAGAGTTGGCAAACCTGGTGACATGCTGTGCACCTCAATTGTTCGGTTTTTGACCGACAAGAGCTGCAAGCGGACAACTTGACAACGTCAAGAACCAACAGCGCGACCATGTTGCCCAACCCGGGCAGGAATTTACAACTGTAGCTCCTTTGGCCTGACATTCCTTCTTCCCCAAACAGTTTACTGTTGGGGTTCTATCTTAGAAAAAAGAGCTGGCCACACTCACTGGCCGCGTCCCTGAACTCTGTGGCTGGGCTCTGTGTCCAGGTCTTGTCCTCCTCTTGTCCTCTGTGCTCTGTTCTGTGTCCAGGCCTTGTCCTCCTTTTGTCCTTTGTGGCTGGGCTCTGTGTCCAGGCCTTGTCCTCCCTCCTCTTGTCATCCTCTTTTTGTGGCTGGGCTCTGTGTCCAGGCCTTGTCCTCCTCTTGTCCTCTGTGGCTGGGCTCTCTTGCTGGGCCCTTGTCCTCTTCTTGTCCTTGTCGGGTCTTGTCCTCCTCTTGTCCTTGTCTTGGCCGCGCCCCTGAACTCTGTGGCTGGTCTCTGTGGCCCGGTTTACTGGAGAGGAGTGTGGCCGAACAAATAGCGATGTCAATGCCGACAAATACTCATTGATGAAGCTGTTTACTCTTCGGGTGAAGGTAGGGCGTACCAAGAAGTCGATTTTTGACTAATATTGGTCTAAACGAATCGTGTTGAAGCTGCTTGGGGTCTATGCTTGTGTAATTATGAAAGCCAAAGTCACATAGAGTCACAAATTCTGAAGTGTTTGAACAAAGCTGCCTTAGTTGAGCGGTAGCCAACGATACAGAATCAAATTCCACGTACTGTAGATGCTCAAGCCTGAACTAAGATACGCAGGAGCGCACGTACACACTATTAACCGCCTGCTGGGGTGTGCTGCCGGTTGAGCATGTGCAGGTTTGGTGTAAGCGGTGGTTGGTGTAAACCGTTGTTGGCGTAAACGGTGGTTGGTGTACACCGTGGTTTGGTGTAAGCGGTGGTTGGTGTAAACCGTGGTTTGGTGTAAACGGTGGTTGGTGCAAACCGTGGGCAAATTGTTGCGGAAACCATGGAAAAATGCCGCGAAGCGAGCACGACGAAGACGATGCAGCGACGAAGACGACGAGGGGGGGTGGGGAGGGGGTCAAGTTGGTCGATGAAAAATCCGCGCGGAGAAGCAATCTAATTGATGAACAACGTTAGTTTTGGACAATAGCACATAAGAATACAAGTGCAAGAACATCCACAAGACACGCCGGCAGGCCGGCGGATTATTCTATATACAAGACTGCAAAGAGCCATTCATGTTAAACTGGGACCAAGTTCCAGAAAGTAAACTAAGTAAACTTTAACAGTATCATACAAAACGAATGGCCCTAGGCGGGAAGAACGAGCAGCATTTTAAGAACAGCTCTGTCTGATGTCACTTTGTCGCAGGTTTTTTTCATGAACCCATCCCACCTATGAAAATGGCAGAGGGTAAGAGGAGAGGGTACAAGTACAGAATGGTTGGGTTAAATCGTGGTGATTTTTGGCCAGGTAGTGTGGTTTTCCACAGGCTTGTTGGGGCCGGAGTTGTAGAATCCGCAGTGAGATCAACCATTTTCACGCCTAGGCATGGCAGACTGGTGGCATGTGAGTCTGATGCCAGCGCCTTTGTTTTGTCGATTTTGAGGCTGTGCTCCCAGCAAGAAATTGAGGATCCACTTTGTATTCAGGCCAGCCACAAGTCTCTGCGTGAGCGTGTTGATTTCTTGGAAAAGCTCCTGGGTGAGTCTGCAGACAAGCATTCTGAGGCGCCTCAAGCAAGAATTATCAGAAAAGTCAGTCACGCATTTTTTGATGTCCATGCGGTGGTCTGAACGTATGCTCAGGGCCTGCAAGCTGCGCATTCAAACCTTCAAAAGCTCCATGGCAGCTTGCAGGAACAGATGTCAACCAGGCTGGAGCGAACCATAATTACTGGTAGCAAGCCAATGTTATATGGTTAAGCCAGATTCTGATATTGATCCGTCAGATTCTGAAACTGGAAAGTCAGATTTAGCAACTGGATGCAGCCCCCTCCCTCCACAAAGCACGCAGCAAAAAACAATGGAGTCAAAGCAGTCCTTCCAAAAACCATTGACTTCAACCCAACACCAAAACAGAAGTATGCATAATCCCACCGGCAGAGGATAAGGCCCGACCCAACCCATGCAGCCAACGAACCGAACTGCACAAGAAACGTAATTGGAAACCAGCTTCAGGCATTTCACATCTGTGCGGAGCCCGATTAACATTGGAGATCTGATTTAAAGGGTACAGCGCTTAACAGCGCCCACCAGTCATCAAAGACAATGGCCTCCACTGACCTTATCTAGCTGCCACAAGTAAGATCAACCATGTCAAACTAGTTGCGGAAGCCTAGTTGCGGAATCCAGTCGAGTTGCGGAATCCGATTTAATCCCATGTTATAATTACAATTAAATAATTACACTCGTTGAACATGTTTTTCAACTGACGCGTCGATCTGACATATGTGGTGAGTTTCATTTGCAGGATGGACAAACTTCATGGAAACGTCCAAGAAAGGCTCCAGGCCATTGAGAAACAGCTTGGAGCCACAGTTTAGTGTTGTTTGTGCCATAGCGAATCCTGTTCCTGTTGTCGGCTGATGTCGGCTGTACAACAAGGCTTGGACAAGTTGATGACCGCAGGGCCGGAAGCTCAATGGAACAATAGCTTGAGAGAGGTCAGTGTGTGTGTGTGTGTTGAGCTTGCTGGACACAGGAAGCCCATGCTCGAGAGTTGCAGCAGGTCGGAAGCTTGCTGTTTGCATTTGTTTCCAGTCCGAGTTTCCTCTCCGAGTTGTGAACACTGTCAACTCGTCAGACACAAGGTCAAAAGCCAGGTAGACCAAGCCCATCAAAAGCTGGGAAATCCAACCAAGCCCCAAAGTTTCATACTTAGCCTTTGCCGCTGGGGCACATTGTAATTTTGATAATTGTGTTGCTGTGACAAGACCCACGGATTCCTGAGGTTCTTTGCACCATGCTACGATGGCAGAGAGAATGGAGTACTTGGAAAAGCTAATGGGCGATTCTGCCGACAAACATTCAAGCGAACTCGGGCAGGCCAGAGACGACACGCTGAGAAGTTTACTACATTGCCACAAGATGCCACACCACTCTCTTTCAGAGACTCTTTTGTATGTGATAGACTTGAGCAGCTTCAACCCATTCTTGATTTACAAGCTCTATGGAAAGTTTATTTCTCGTACGAGGCGCATACAAAGCTTGATCAGCTTCGAGGTCGTCTCACTGATCTAGAGGCTTTGCGCGAAGTGCATGGCACATGCGCATACATTGGCCACATAGGACATTTGCAGTCATGCTCAAATCGATAGAATACAACATTGCCACTCTTAAAACCAACATTTTGAAGGATTACCAGCACCTGCGCGTATGTACTACCAGTAAAGCACTTACTATCAGTATCCCCGTTGCTACCGGTTAAGCTAAAATGACGTGGTCGACCACGGAACAGTCATTTTATTTTAATTACTCATTTAGTTTAATGTAAGGGTTCTTGAATAAAGAGAGCGGGACGCTATGCGGGTGACCTGTGGGTTGTTGATGCCACTGTGACATCTGGTAATGGTATGCTAATGGCACATGTGATGGTAATGCCATTCACCCTTTGACCTGTGAGGGCTTGATGCTAATGATAATGCTAATAGTACTGGGCATGCCAATGGTAATGTCATGCTAATGCTGACAATGGTCCATAGTAGGTAATGGCCATTCACCCTTGGCCTGTGGCAATGCTAATGGCAATGGTGACGGTAATGCCATTCACCCTGTGACCTGTGGGAGCTTGATGCCATTCACCCGTGTTGACCTGTGGTAGTGGAAATGCTAATGGCAATGGTCATGATAATGCCGTTCACCCTGTGAGCTGTGGGAGCTTCATGCCATTGACCCTTGACCTGTGGGAGCTTGATGTCCCACAGGTAAAACCTCGGAGGGGGTGGTCGGCAAAAGTCAAATGATACCACCCAAAAAACAAACCTTGTTTGGGCCGAACTCCCCCCAAGATCCGATGAACTAGCAAGACTACTACTCACTAGCAGACCGACCACCTACCAACAACAAACCAAACCACTGCCTTGGAAACTATCTGAACACCTTCAACATGCAAAGTACAAAAACAAGGGGTTTCAAGAACATTGGAAAACACACGCACTTAGATTGATGCTCGCAAGAGCTGATGGCAGTCCACTCTAGTGAATACAATACCGGTGCAGAAACTAGACCTTGACTTGCAGAACAGAAGGAGTGCTGGGTCGGAGAACAGAACGGTTTAACAACACGCATTAGCCCTCATTTGAATCAATTGGTGCAGGTACGTCAGAGTGGCCAACCCTGATGTCACCAGATCAAGTGGGCGTCTTCGTTGGTAGCGGTCCCAAATGATCTGCCGCTACCCCCTGCCTGGTGACTTGAAAGTAGTAGGAGAATGAATTAGCGTGCACTGGTTCATTGGTGTCCTTCGGTACAGGTGTGGACACACACACAGGGCCGTAAGTCGGCGCTCGCTCTTTTGGTCCGCTGGGAGGGGGGGGAAAGGGGGTGCGGGAGTGCATTGACTAAACGAGCCTGGATGATGCCAACCTAACAAGCCTAAAAGTTAGCAAGAACAAGGCAAACGAAAAAGGCAAAGAAAGGAAAGGTGCAAGGTGCGGGGGTGTGGGCAGGGCGTGCGTTGACCAAACGAGCCTAAACGCCGACCTAACAAGCCTGCAGGAAAGCCCAAGCAAACGAAAAAGGCAAGGAACGAAAGGTGCGAGGGGTGTAGGGTGGGGATGCCCGAAGGCGTGACAAAAAGCCGTAACCGGCGCTCCCTTGACTGAAAGACCTGAATTACACCTAAAAAGCCTCTAGAAACGAAAAAGGACTTAGAAAACGAAGAGCAACAGCAGGAAAGAAAGAACCGAAGAGTCCTATGGCCTATGAATACTTAGCAGCATGGCATGTGAATACTTATCAGCATGACATGACATTCTCGGAAATTTGATCTCAGTAAGCCCTGCGGCGTAGGATCGGCACTTTCATGCTGAACAGTAAATCGAATGAAGTCCACAATGAAGATCACGTGCAGTCGGAAGGATCAGGGGGGAGTCTCCCTTAAGGGCATGCGCACATGCTGCGCCCCTCGCTGGGGATTGGACCACAGCCCGCAGTGGGACTCTGTGGCGGGACACACTTAGATTGATGCTCGCAAGAGCTGATGGCAGTCCACTCTAGTGAATACAATACCGGTGCAGAAACTAGACCTTGACTTGCAGAACAGAAGGAGTGCTGGGTCGGAGAACAGAACGGTTTAACAACACGCATTAGCCCTCATTTGAATCAATTGGTGCAGGTACGTCAGAGTGGCCAACCCTGGGTAGCGGTCCCAAATGATCTGCCGCTACCCCTGCCTGGTGACTTAAAAGTAGTAGGAAAATGAATTAGCGTGCACTGGTTGGTGTCCTTCGGTACAGATGTGGACACACACACACGTACAAAGTCCTTTTCTGTTAATAGAACGGGTTTCACTGATGAACTCTTTGCACAGTGAAACTAGACAGCTTTGAAAAAAAACCTTTGTGGTATAGATGTTTGAGGCGTGAACCCAGTTCATTTAACGTCAGTCTGAGCTATCATAAGATGATGAAGCAGCTGTTTCATTGATGTTATAAAAATAACATGAAAACAATCAGAAATGAAACACTTCGAAAAAAAAAACAGCAGAGAAAACACACCAAAAATATAGGACCAAGATGCCACATAGCTCCAAATTGAACAATATTTTGGACAGCCCATTCTTGAAGAATCACATTTTTAATTTGTGTCCGCTCGCCCCGCCGCTCCCCAGATCCAAGCACCACAAACGCCAACAAACCTCGGAGGAGAACACCCAGGATCACCCAGGAAACCACCGAAGGGAACCAAATGGCATCCTGACAAAGCCACTCAGAAACTCTTCTTCTCTTCACCCTCAACCACGGCAACGCCCAGAACGCCGGGCCCACAACCCGGAACCCCTCACAGAAACCCCAACCACGCCCGAAACACCAAAAAGAGAGGAAAAACATTGAAAAATATGGACTGGCAAACTAATGCCTTTTCTTCAGATGATTTTTCACCCAAACACGAAGGCCGCTTCGTCCAAACGACTGCTGCCCCTGCCTCCCGCAGCCGAACCGCTCGGCCACCTCCTGCCCAAAACAAGCAAACAACGCAAACCCACACCGCCCCCGACCCCCCACCTCCGGCCAAAACACTCAGAGGCAAAGTTAATGCATTTGACCTTGGGTATGGATTCTGCATTGTTCAGAATGGAAAAACAAAAATAAAATGACTAGCATGTCAAGATACGTTCAACTGTCACTTTATTTGACTTTATTTTCATATATATATATATGAAGTATTTTGGGTGACATTAAGTAAAATCAATTGAACACGCTAAGCCAATGCACGGTTTCAAGAAAAGTGTCCGTGACGGAAGCAAAAACCAAACAAAATAAAATGACTATATAGATCAACCTCTTTTGACAAAATTACCCTGTGAACAGAGTAATCCAGAGTAGTTTGATCATTTTACTTCAACCCTTGTTCAAAGGCTTCTTAAACACCACATGCATCTTGGAAACCTTTGTCCCAATACAGACTTTGCACCCTTCATCCCAAGTCTTTTCAACAAGATTTGTGAACCCTTCTTCACCCCAAGGTTTCTGAACCGTTCAGCCCAATGACTTTGAACTCTGCACCCCCCAATTTTTGAACCCTTCTTCATCCCAAAGACTTGGCACCCTTCACCCCAAGTCTCCGGACTGCAGTTGTTGCGAGTCAAGGAGTCGTCATAATGAATTTTCGGCTTCCAGTTGGCCTGGATCTGCTTGTTCACTGAAATGTCATTGTCACAACAGAATTTGTGGATGACATCCACTCCAAGAGCCTGGAGTGCCATATGTGGCGTCTCCAGCCCGGAACAGTCAGTTCCGATTCAAACCACCATCAGGCAGCAAAGCAGAGAACCTTTCAACCAAAGTGCTCTTTCAACATAAATGCTGTCTGACAAAAAATGGCTTCGAATCAAATACACATCGACGCACATTGTAACCATTGAAACACGTTTTACGAAACATTCACAAATAGTTTAAGAAGCTAGGCTGTATCTTCGTTTTAAACACTTCACACAGTCATGTTATTTCCCTCACCTGTTGTGATGTGCAAACCTGTGGAAAAGCAAACGCCACCATTTTGTCAGAATTGACTTTCCATAGCAATTGAATCACACAGGATCCAAAAGGTAAGAGGACCTCTTAACCTCAATGAAATGACATGAAATGCAATATCAAAAGCCGGGCAGTTTTGAGCTGAAGTGTTTTTGATGAATATGCAATATCAGCAACCTGTTCCTTGCGGAAAACACCATATAACATCATAGAACACAATCAAAATAGCATGACTCTTAGCAAACGATATACTTTCTTGGCGGTATATAACAACAGTGATTCTGAATTGCTGCGAGTTCATTCAATGCAGTTTGTCTAATAAAATGACTTTCAGCGGTTGTTATCGATGAAGCCCACTTTATCTATATACAATCTACAATAAACATATTAATACTCTGCATCCATGAAGCATGCACCCACAGACCCAAACATTCATTTGCGGATTCCACTTGGGGCAAAGGCAGTCACTGTTTAAATCTGTTTCAGCCTTTTTTGTGATTGACATCTCCTGTCCCTTCAGGATGGGTCGAAGTTCCCGGGCCTGAATTGATTAACACATATTTATTAAATAGGCTGTTTCAAAAACAAGAAAACACGACATAAAAAAACGGCAAAGAAAATATCTCCTGGCCAGAAGCAACTATTGAACGTGTCCCGCCCCCCTCCCAAAAGATGACTCGGCTCCATCTTCAAGATCTGACACCCCCAATGGCAGACCTTTTGTTTTTGTTGAGGCTTTGTTATTGACTTGATTTTTTTATGCTTGATGATTGTTGTTGGGGCCTAGACGAAACGAAAGGAAACATTTGATAAGAAAAGAGCGTCATGCGTTGATCTGTGCTTCTGTGTTTTCCCCACCTGTTGTTAGATTTTATGTCAGCTGCCTTCCTCCTCCATCTCCTCCTGCTCCTGCTCCTCCTCCTGCTCCTCCTCCTCCTCCTGCTCCGCGTGCGCCTCCGCCTCGTCCTCAACCGCCAGCTCCGGATGGCAGTGTTCCCCGCCGGACCTCAACCGCAAGTGCAGTATGGCAGCGTTCCCCGCCGGACGTCAACCGCGAGTTCCGCTTGGCAGTGTTCCCCCGCCGGACCTCAAACGACAGCTCTGTGTAGATTACTATGTGTTCTTGGTGAATGTCTTGTTGGGGCCATTACTCGAAGTGCGTCTGCTTGCTTTCTGGCAATTGTGATTTTTTGCGCAGGCAGCCGTTTCCAAACAGGCTTGGGACACAGGCAACACTACACGGCAGGCAAGTATGCACACACCACACAGCAAGCATGTGCACGCGCGAGCCTAGGCATGGTGGGGCTCTGACGAAGTGAAATATATTTTTTTTCATCATGAGTGTTTCATGATTCCAAACTCGTCACGGGCACTGAAACCATGGCTTCCAGACTCAACTTAGCTAACTTTCCGAGAAAGTGAAAAATACTTGCACTTAGCAGCAAAAAGGCACGCATAGGCTGACGCATAGGTCTGGAAGTCGTATCAGTCATTTTAGATAAGCAAGTCGTAACAAAAATTAGGGTGAGCCCCAATATTCGGTAGCAACGGGATGCAAAGGGGATCTAATAGTTTATGAATGCTTGAGGAGGAGCGACCGGTGTATACATACTGTGCCTTTGATTTATATACTGCCTTTTGGTATGCTCTGGGTTCCACGACTAAACGACTAACGAGATCTAACGAGCGCGTCGGCTACGGTTTCCCTTCCTGTTCAACAGTGTAGCCAGAGGGAGTCAGATGGTTTTGCACCAAAACAGGCAAGTGATTGATAGAATTTATAGCCCGATGTTAACGTGCTGCTTGACACTTAACAATGAAGTAGAAAATAACAACGCAACTTTCGGGGCCAGCAAGTGCACACTGGTATATCGTGGATGATCCGAATGCTTCACGGTGCAGTGAACCTTCAGATTCTGCCTGCGATAGAAGTGCAAAGCGCCCCAGAAAAAGCGAAACCAATGGAGAGAGAGGGGTCTGACAAAGATTGAAAAAGACAGTCCGGGCACACATTGGAGTGTGAGGAGCATGTTCAAGTAGCCGTGAACCTGAAGAAAACGCCCATGCATCCAGAAGTGGAGGGGTGTCTAATCAGAACTTGCTACATGTCATTTAGTTGAAAGAAGTGGAACAAATTATGTCCAGGTTCCGGGTTCACTTCGACGCAGTCTTTTACGCCGACGATACAATACTGTACTATTTTCAACCGACCCAAATGCCCTCAACGAACATTGATATCGCTTAGAAGACTGTGCCCAACGTTATGGGTTAAAAATCAGCAGGGGGAAATGCCATTCTATTCACATGTACCATGATCCAGCAATACATTTTCAAGATCAACCCCCATTGGTAAAGACTAACGATGCTATATACCTAGGCAACAACCAAAACTATGCAGTGAACATAGCGAGGGAAGTTTCACAACGAATCCAAGATACCAAACGGACTTGGCTGAGGCCTGATCTCCTATGGAAAGACAGATCTACTCACCCAAAATGGAAGCTTCTTGTTTATGATGCTGGCAGTAGTCCGTAGCAAGCGACTCCTATATAGCCTTGAGACTATTCATCTAACTGATTCTCTTGGTAAGAAACTAGATGCTTTTCATTTACGTGGCCTCAGAAAGATCCTGCGGATTCCTACCACATACGTTGACCGACGGTATACGAACCAGCGAGTTACAAAACAGCTACACTCATGGCTTATCAAATAGGAAACTACTATTGTATCAAACCTTTCAGCGCGACGCTTGATGAAAGACGAGCGAAACTCGCTGCGCACATACTCAGATCATCGGACAATGACACGACGAGGCAGGTAATTATAAACCTGGCAGTGCAAATGTATTAGAAGTTGGTTTAAACGTCGTGTCGGTAGACCTCGGCAGCATTGGACTTTTTATTCCAATCAACTCATCCACAACTCAATATCCCACACTGAGAACCATGCTTACGAATTCCAGAAGGAAAGTATCCGTGCAGCAGCACGCCAGCGTCGAATCTGAAACCTTGTTCCGTCCTACGCCCTGGTGCCCAAGCATCCTTTTTCTTTTGTTTGCTGCGGATGTCAGCAACGGATGCATGGCGAAAGAAATGAAGAAATTATTTGGATCAACCATCCTGTGGGACATGTAACGCGCGTGTAGGAGATGGAAGCCTCATGAAGTCTCATGGTGCCGCTTCTGAGTTTAGCCGCATGCTATTCAATGAAATGACTCGAAAACGAGGTGCAGCTGCATCAGGAAATCGTCCTAACTTTCCTGACCGTCTGAACCTGGAGCTTCCTTGGCTCAAACCAGGAACAGACCCAAGGGCCCTGCTATCGGCTATCGTTTGACAACAAGTGAAATGACTGCCTGTCACCTTGTCAGTAGCAGTTTACACGCGCACACACACACACACACCATCTCACACACATATGGCTGCTCGCTCAGCGAAGAGGCTGCACGAGACCGGCATCATGCCCACATCCAAGAATTGGCTGGCCGGGAAAAGGAGGCCAGAGAGCAACCCTTAGTTTTGGAAGGGTGGCTGGATAGTGTGGTTGTGCGCAGAGTTGAAAATTCGGAGTCAAGCTCGCCAAGGACAAGCAGCATGAACACCACAAAGAACTACTTGGCCGAGAGCGGGCTGCCAATGAGGTCTTTGTCTCTATCTTGGATTGTGATACCAACCAATATTTCTTGCAACACTTGCATGTGGGAACGCACCATTGAACACATGCATGATGACAGGCCCATCATGCATCTGTAGCCGAGCGCCTCAAGTACATCGAACAGCTGGCTCAGTACTTGGGTAATTTCCTGGTTCTTGTCTCACTGATATTGAAATGTTTTAAAGGTAATTGTTGCACTTCAACCGACTTTGCACAAAGGTTCTCTTTTTAGGCACCATCATTTCTTCTCCGGGTTTATTGCTCTCAGGTTGGTGACTCGTGTGAGCGCCACTCGAAGGAAATCCAGGCTTCTCACACGCGACTGGAGACCATGCAACGTCCTTAGAGTTGGCAAACCTGGTGACATGCTGTGCACCTCAAATGTTCGGTTTTTGACCGACAAGAGCTGCAAGCGGACAACTTGACAACGTCAAGAACCAACAGCGCGACCATGTTGCCCAACCCGGGCAGGAATTTACAACTGTAGCTCCTTTGGCCTGACATTCTTTTTTGTTGAAAACCAAAGTCACATAGAGTCACAAATTCTGAAGTGTTTGAACAATGCTGCCTTAGTTGAGCGGCAGCCAAACGATACAGAATCAACTTCCATGTAGATGCTAAAGCGTGAACTAAATGCGCAAGAGCACACGACACTATATACTATATATTGTTATTCTGCAAGACTGCACATGTTAACCTGGGACCAAGCTCCAGAAAGTAAAGACATATCATACAAAACGAATGGCCCTAGGCGGGAAGAATGAGCAGCATTTTAAGAACAGCTCTGTCTGATGTCACTTTGTCGCAGGTTTCTTTTTCATGAACCCATCCCACCTATGGAAATGGCAGAGGGTAAGGGGAGAGGGTACAAGTACAGAATGGTTGGGTTAAATCGTGGTGATTTTGGCCAGGTAGTGTGGTTTTCCACAGGCTTGTTGGGGCCGGAGTTGTAGAATCTGCAGTGAGATCAACCAATTTCACGCCTAGGCATGGCAGACTGGTGGCATGTGAGTCTGATGCCAGCGCCTTTGTTTTGTCGATTTTGAGGCTGTGCTCCCAGCAAGAAATTGAGGATTCACTTTGTATTCAGGCCAGCCACAAGTCTCTGCGTGAGCGTGTCGATTTCTTGGAGAAGCTCCTGGGTGAGTCTGCGGACAAGCATTCTGAGGCGCCTCAAGCAAGAATTATCAGAAAAGCCAGTCACGCATTTTTTGATGTCCATGCGGTGGTCTGAACGTATGCTCAGGGCCTGCAAGCTGCGCATTCAAACCTTCAAAAGCTCCATGGCAGCTTGCAGGAACAGATGTCAACCAGGCTGGAGCGAACCATAATTACTGGTAGCAAGCCAATGTTATATGCTTAAGCCAGATTCTGATATTGATCCGTCAGATTCTGAAACTGGGGTTCTGAAACTGGAAAGTCAGATTCGGCAACTGGTTGCAGCCCCCTCCCTCCACAACGCATGCAGCAAAAAGCAATGGAGTCAAAGCAGTCCTTCCAAAAACCATTGACTTCAACCCAACACCAAAACAGTTCAGGCCAGGAAGTATGCACACAACCTCATTTGTGGAACCCCAATTGTGGAATCCAGTTGCGGAGTCCTTACAGTACTAGCTGTCGCAAGTAAGACCAAATTACCTTAGCAAAATTGTTCAAACTAGTTGCGGAATCCGGTCGAGTTGCGGAATCCGGCTTTATCCCACGTTATGATTACACTCGTTGAACATGTTTTTCAACTGACGCGTCGATCTGACATATGTGGTGAGTTTCATTTGCAGGATGGACAAACTTCATGGAAACGTCCAAGAAAGGCTCCAGGCCATTGAGAAACAGCTTGGAGCCACAGTTTAGTGTTGTTTGTGCCATAGCGAATCCTGTTCGGCTGTACAACAAGGCTTGGACAAGTTGATGACCGCAGGGCCGGAAGCTCAATGGAACACTAGCTTGAGAGAGGTCAGTGTGTGTGTGTGTGTGTTGAGCTTGCTGGACACAGGAAGCCCATGCTCGAGAGTTGCAGCAGGTCGGAAGCTTGCTGTTTGCATTTGTTTCCAGTCCGAGTTTCCAGTCCGAGTTGTGAACACTGTCAACTCGTCAGACACAAGGTCAAAAGCCAGGTAGACCAAGCCCATCAAAAGCTGGGAAATCCAACCAAGCCCCAAAGTTTCATACTTAGCCTTTGCCGCTGGGGCACATTGTAATTTTGATAATTGTGTTGCTGTGACAAGACCCACGGTTTCCTGAGGTTCTTTGCACCATGCTACGATGGCAGAGAGAATGGAGTACTTGGAAAAGCTAATGGGCGATTCTGCCGACAAACATTCAAGCGAACTCGGGCAGGCCAGAGACGACATGCTGAGAATGTTCACACATTGCCATACCATGCACGACTGTGTCCCTTTGCGCTTTGGAGAAGTTTTTGACATGTGTCAGAAAGACTCTACATTCTCACAAGATTCCCAAGCTGCAAGTCTATCGTTGATTGCTCACACAAGGCACACACGAAGCTCGATCAACTTAGAGGTCGTCTCACTACTTTGGAGGCGGGAATTTGGACCGAAGATCACTACTCCCTTACGGTGCCTGACCCCGCTGGGGGGTCAAATTTGTAACTTATTACAATTTTTTGTCAGGATTTCACGAAACGTCAGAGCATACCCAACAGGTCACTCATCCTGGCATGACAGGTTCCTGAACTCACTTAGGTACTTTAGGCCCAAAGCCTGTTTTCAGGAAAAGCGTTCGCGCTGCTTTGCATGGTAGCGGAGCCCCGGTCGTAAGAGCCGGGGCCCGCTAGGCACAACGACCGCCACACGCTCTTCCTTGGTGGAGGATCCAGGGCCAGAGGAATCTGCTAGCCGTGTGGTCGCGAAATCCTGGAAGGTGAAAAAGAGAAGTTTTCACCTTGTGATCTTGGAGGGTGACACTCACATCGGCAAGGTCAAGTGGGTGAAGTCAGGAAGAGCGACAAAGGCATCCCTTTTGGCGCAAGGAAGTCGTTGTGGTCCCTAGCAATTGGTCCTTTTTAGAACGGCTCGAGGAGAAGAAGGAGGAGATCCAGGGAGACAAGATTTGTGCATTCGTTGCACAGTGGAGGTTCTAGGAGCTAGTGACCTATAGCGGGCAGAGCTAAACAGAGCGAAGCAGTGAAGGAGGAGCGGGTTGGAGCACGAGGAGCTTCTATCCAAGACCCTCAAAACTTGAAGAATGGCTGAGGAGAGTTTGAGACTCATCTCAGCAGCCTTAGAGAGGTTGACGGTGACGCAGAGCACCCAGGCTTGGTCACGACATTTGAAAGCACCTGATGTCTTCAAGCCTGAAAGCCGTGATCATGAACTTCGAGGTTGGAGCGATTGGGAGTTTTTTTTCTGCAACTACATTGGCCGGCCTACATGAAGCAGCATTTGCAGCTTTGGGAGGATGATGCAACCACTTTTGAGTCGTTGAAGAAGGAGATCCATCATCACAACCAAGTGCCAAGCTTCGAATTGCCTTGCCCTTCGAACCAGAGCCAGTGAGACGATTCAACGCCAATGGAGGATGACTACGTCGGAGGAGAAAGGGAAGAAGGGCGGCCAGAAAGGAAAGGAGGCAAAAGGAAAGAACAAAGGCAAGGACAAAGGCAAGGGCAAATATGAGGGCAAAGGATGTTGGAAAGGACAAAGTCGACAGGAGAAGGGCAAAAGCACGTGGGAGGAGAGCGGTGCGCGTCATGTTTGTGGAAAGCAGGGACACTACGCCGAAGATTGTTGGAAGAGGGTGCAACAAGTTGAGGATCAGCCAAATCCGGGTGGAGCATCAAGTTCATCAACAGGTCACACAGGCGGTGGCGCCGCACGGACCTCATCTGTGAAGATGGTCTGCGTTGCAACACCGCCCGATCCTCCTTGCGCTGACGTCTTCCAGTCTTCGACTTACACGCGCAGATGCAGACATTGAGAGGCACCCTTGGAGGAGTCAGACGGTAAGACTGGCTGAGGACTTTGAGAAATCAGAGCACAGCTGGTACAAGAGAAGGAGAGCTATGAGGAGGAGGTGTTCTATGACTGCCTGGGCCTAGAGCCGGCATTTTTGGCACGCGGAGGAGTTCCTACCGTGGTGTTGGACCTGCAAGAGGTGGAAGTTGAGGAGACCGCTTTCTACATGGTCCAGATGGTCAGCATGAAAGAAGTGGACGAAGAGGAGTGTCTTGTGACCTTTGACAGCGGTGCAGATGTTTCTGTACTGCCAATCTATGGCAGTGTGGGAGAACGGAGGCCAGGAACAAAAGATTTGAACATGGTGGGTGCGCAAGAGGCAAGAAGATTGAGCACCGAGGCCTAACTTGGGCTAAGGTAAGAGTGAAGGACGTCAATGGCAAAGGGATCGAGATCATCGAGGAACTCGTCCTTGGGAACGTCCAGCGCCCAATCATGCGCGCTGGCAGATTGCTGCGGGAAGGATGGAGCATCCAGTCAGGAGACGAATGACTCCAACTATGTCATGGTGTTCGTGACATCTCCATCCCCATCAACAATGGGAGGCATTCGCTTCAATTTGAAGCCAGGATCAATGGAGTTAAGCAGGAAAACAATAAGGAGGTCGAAGAGAGCAGGGTGATGGTCTTGCGTGGCTGTCTCAACCGCTACGTGCAGGAGCTGGAGTTCGTACCACAAGGTCCGCCTTACATATCGTAGATATATGTTTGGATATGTCAGGTTATATGTGTGGATATGTAAGGTTATATGTGATGGTAAATGGGTTAAGTGTCCATAAGTATTCGGCCAGACTTACGCTAGATACAGTGTATATACAAAAAATATAAGTCATTTATAAGTCAGTTATAAGTCGGAATAGTAACGTACGGAAGCGAAAACCTACTTATTCTACTTAGGGGCGCACTTAGCCTACTTACAAAAACCTAATTTTTTCAAAGTTTTTTCATGGTTTTCTTTAAAATGTCATGAAAAAGTTGATTTTTTAAGGTTTTTGTGTGTGGATTTGATTAAAACGCTGGAATTAGCAGTCTACAGCGTAATGTCAACATTACAGCCCCTTGATATGAAATTGCTGAGGGTTAGTTGAGTGGGCAAAGTTTCATAAGATATTCCATTCTGTAGTTTGTTTTTTGCGGGCTGTTGCAAACATAAAAGAAATTCTATAGACGTGAACATCATTACGCACACACATACAGACACAGACAGAGAGCCCTATATGAACAGGGTGAAAAGCGTTTGTTGGGCGGTGTACCCGCTGCGGGCGAATTCGATCTATAGATGGCTGTGAGAGACCGCAGTTGAGGTTATAAGTGGCGGTGTGTCCGCTGTAAGTATAGGTTAGGGGGGCGGTGTGTCCGCTGTAGGTTTGTAACATTCGGCCGGGTTTGAATGGAAAAAAGATAGGGGAGGAAAGGAAAGAAGGGTACCCTTTCGCGTGCATCTGCGAAACACGTGGGCGTGTGTTGAGAGAAAGGAATGGGAGGAAGTGCAATCTCCGAGATTGGTGTTGAAAGGAGAGCCTGCCCGTAGTGATGGCCTGACATCGTCTGACTTCCTTCTGGCTTCGTTCTGACATCGTGTGTCGTCAGGGCGTCGTCGGGCCTGACTTCGTTCTGACATCGTGTGTCGTCAGGGTGTCGTCGGGCCTGACTTCGTTCTGACTTCGTGTGTCGTCAGGGTGTCGTCGGGCCTGACTTCGTTCTGACATCGTGCGTCGTCAGATGTCGTCGGGCAATTAAAAACATATTGACTTCGTCCTGACATCGTGCGTCGTCAGGGTGTCGTCGGGCCTGACTTCGTTCTGACATCGTGTGTCGTCAGGTTGTCGTCGGGCCTGACTTCGTTCTGACATCGTGTGTGTCGTCAGGGTGTCGTCGGGCCTGACTTCGTTCTGACATCGTGTGTAGTCAGGGTGAGGTCAAGTGTCGTCAGATGTAGTCGTCAGATGTCTGGCCACATTGAGCGTTCACCAAAGGAAAAAGGAACTCCCTTGTTTCTTGATTGCCTCGGTTTCTGTAGGAAAGCTCTCTCTAGGCCGTTGGTATTGCTGGTGTGGTGGAGGAAATCGTTTTTGGAGAGCAAACCGCATATAGCTTTTGGTTGAAGACTTGAAGAAGCTGCAGTGCCTGAAGTCACGGAACTGGGGACGCGTTTTGGCAAAGCCAAGAGTCCCATTTGTTCACGCCTGCTTTGAGCGAGTCATGGACGCTACCTCCGTGGTGGCGACGGGACGATGATGTGCTCACTATACCTTGCTGTGAAAAAGAATTACCACGCTGACCCACACACCGCTTTGTTTTGTCGCTGTTGCGTTTAATTATGTGGGGTTGGCGGTGTGTCCGCTTTAGGTGGCGGTGTCACCGCTGTAGGAACTGACATGTTCAACAGGCGGCTGCCTCGCCCCTCTTTGGTCTACAAACAGGGATGGTTTTAGAAGAGCACTCACACAATGAAAAAACCCAGGATTTACAAAAAAATTCTTAAAACATAACAATTTACAACCTCAAAAAAACAGGTTTTGTAAAAAAGTAAAAAAGTTAAAAAACAAGCTCTTGTCAAACACCTGCGCTCTACTTAGCCTACTTATAAGTATGGTTATAAGTTGGTCTAAGTAGTAAGGTCATAAGTCAGTATAAGTAAGTTTGTAAGTAATTTATAAGTAACTGTTCTGGCCTAAGTAACACGGACCTTTTGGTACCAGGTTGGCATCGATATGGAGCGGTGGCACATAGTGATCCAGTTGCCGTCTATATGACACCCAGAGGCGCCAAGCATTGGTTCTTTTCTCCCTGGGCGCCGAACCCAGAGGCGCCAGTACTCCAGAGGCAACAGGGGATATCAGGCACATCCAATGGTCAGATGGATGAGGAGGAACAAGAAAGAGAAGAAGAATTGGAAGAGCGGATTGAAGCTCAGGAAGTGGAGAAGATCTAGGTGGCAGAGAAGGGAGAAGAGGCAACGACAAGAACACCATGAAGGAGCTTCAACTAGCATGCAAGGAGAGAGGATTGCCATACGCCGGCAGCAAGAAGAGATTGCTGACAAGGTTGATTGCCTTCAAGGTGGACATTGAGCACAAGTTGCAAATGAGCATCGCAAACAAGTTGTTCAAAGAACAGCAAAGGACACATTTGACTTTGGGGCAGCCAAAGTTACCGTCCCTTCCAGAGCAAGAGCTTGATTTTATGACGCATTGGCCCTTTGCTCTATGGTGTCAAGCTTGTATGGCCGCAAGCGCAAAGGAAGACAAACGCATTCCTCAGGAATCAAAGCCAGATCTTGGAACTGCCATCATTCAGTTGGACTTCATGTACACCTACACGGGTCCAGACGGTCGTATGGAGGAGCCGACGCAAGGACGAGTTGAAGAGAGGCAAGATCAATAAAGCACTTGTTCGATCACGGCGTCGACCGAAACCAAGGCCACCCACGCGGCGCCTCAATCAGGTCACAGAAGAAGTGATTCGGTTTTCCTTCAAGAATGCTGGCAGAGAGAAGTGTATTTTCCAAGCAGACTCAGAAAGGGCGACTGTAGACAGATCTTGAGGTCCGTCCAACAAGTCAGGAAGGTGATGGGTCTGCAAACAGACTGTCGACTTACACGAGCAGGACAGCATGCCTCCAATGGGCTGGTTGAGAGGGCAGTCCAAGCAGTCCGGAGATTGGCGAACTGTTTGAGGACCTTTGCAGAAGAGCGTGCAAGGCTACCCATCACTGGAGACAATCACCTTTTCCCATGACGTTCAAGCGCGCCTCTTTCCTTATCAGCAGATATCGTGCGGTTGAAGGTGTTGGAAGAACAAGCTATGAGCTGGCAACAGAACATGAATATCGAGGAAAGTCGCCGCACAGCTTCCAACGTGTTCGGGCAGGGCATCTGGTGTGACCACCGTGGCCAACACTCTTTCAACGACTGCCACATTGCGCTGATGCCTGAAGGGGCGTGTGAGGCAACAACGATTCGAAGACTTGCTCCAGAACAAGCTTTCAGTGGTCCAGCTATGATCACATGTAGAGGACTGCCGTGGGCATACTCACCAAAAGACATCCTCATCAACCGTGGTGGACAGGCCAACGCTTGAGGCTGAGATTCAACCAGAAAAGCTGGAAAACGTTGCTCAGACGGTGGCAGCTGGCCTTGCGACTCCAGCGCCAGGTCTTCATGGTGGTGGACATCAACAGGGCGTTGGCGTGGCAGCGCCAGTGACACCGGCGTTGCCAACACCATCGGCGAAGAGACAACGCGCAGCAGGAGAGGAAGTTGAGAGAGAAGTCAAAAGACAAGACGCGACAGAGTCACCAAGGAAGGCAGCAGGAAAGCGAGAAGCAGAACCTGAAGTTGAGGAGGAGACAGAGAAGAGGAAACAGATGAAATGATTTCAAAAGCAGATGAAGCACTGCCTGAGGAGAGAAGTCCAGACAGCAGGACAAGACCAGCAGATCATACGACAGAAGGATCGCCAGGTGGAAAGATGGCAAGGTTGCGCCCACCGCATGACGCAGGAGTCCAAGGCATCGAGGTACACGGTGACGAGGAGACTGGCTTCGAGCACATTCCAGCGAAGAACTACAATGCAGTTATGGAGGTGATGAAGATGCAGACCCTCCTGAAGTTTCGCAAGAAGAGTTGGAAGCTTTGGACAAAGACGCAACCAAGACAGACATCGAGCGGATGTTGAGCATACCTGCCATGGAAGAAGCAACCGCTGAAGAAATGATTGCAAATGCTGGCTACACCATATCAACAAGGATGGTCTACACTTGGAAATACACGCAGACTGGAACAAGGTCGATGGTTTCGTAGAGCGAGACTTGTTGCGAGGCAATTCAACTGTGACGATCGTTCCGAAGATGATGACCCACCAACTGCTCAACGTGTGCGCCAACTAACTTCGTGGCCATGACCTTGGATATCAAGGACGCTTTCT